CTTAGAGAGGAAGAAATGTGGGAGAGAGAGAGAATGGGAGAGATTAAGCACAAATGGACTTAGTGGGGTTAGGTGACCTAATTTCACTAAAGGACTATCTTGCCCTCAATCTAAGGGTAGAGATTAATTCTAGACAAAATATCTAAGGACACTAAGGTCCAATGATTCTAACAATAATAATAATAATAATAAAGACCATAATATCCACTAATAAATCTCTAAAATTCGGAATCCAAGCTTAGGGGTCCGGGGGCACAACGGTAATTTTCCGGTCCCGGATCAAATTTCCAATTTTCGACTCTACTGATCCCAAATATGATTGGCCACATATAAATGACGTCGTCCTTGCAAAAATAGTCACGTACGCCCACGAGATTCGACACCGAAGTCCGAACTCAATTCCACGATCGATTTCGCTCAATTTGCGATTTTAGCGTCTCTCACTAACGGGCGGTTGTTTAGGGGTTACGCGTATCGACTTAGGATTACTCAAGTCGTAACGGTCTCGATTTCCAAGAGGACACGGGGATTATCGCTAGTTCCGGGGGTCGCGATCGTTTGGATTAAGTTCGGGATTGTTTGCCACGCGTACTCTCGGTCGTGCGGAATCACTCGAGATCCGATCGTACGTCGTTGGCCAAATCAAATCCGTCACTCTCCTTGGATCGGCCAACATTGGCACAAAATATTCCCTCGTTGTTTCTCGGAATCGGACTCGATTCGCGATCGAGTTCGTAGGTCCACGTACCGTTTTCCTAGTTAGTCATTCCCTATTAGTCAGTATCCCGAGAAAGATCCGTTCCGGGCGAGATTTACTAAAATGAAATGAGAAATAAACATCTATTTCATTTATCACGAAAGTGGGTCGAATTCAGGACGTTACATCCATGATGGCTGGGCTTTTGTTCTCGTGCCCCTAAGGTATGAAAATAATGAAATAGGGCTAGGCCAATTATATACTTAGTTGGATGTATCAGTTATATATCTTATGAGTAGTCATGTGTTTAATTATCATTGATAGTTTGAAGAAAAGAAAGCAAAGAAAAAGGACTACTTGGAGGTTGGGATTGCCATTTCGAGGAAGCCATAATTTTTTTTTTAGTGAGCATACGATAAAAGCTAACATAATGACATGAAATACTACATTTCCAAAAAAAAAAATCAAAGAATAAATAGACAAAAGCCATTCGCTCCAATCTGGTAGATTAATTGAAATTTATTTTGATGACCGGTCAAGTGCATCAACAATTTAACAATAAATTTGATATAAAAACAAAGAAACTTGTGTCAAATAAGATAATCCGAATACTGCTATGGTATTCGATTTCCAGTGAAAATAAGTTGATGGTTGCACACACCTATTAGATATAGTGGTCCACAACTGAAGCGATGTAATATTATTCTTTGCTGATATATTTAATTGTCCATATAATGATATGTCTTTTGAGGGTCATGTGTTTAATTACTATTTAGCAAAGAAGAAACAACTACACGGAGGTCGTGAATGTGATTTCGAGGAAGCCAGCAAAGTTTCTTTGTCAGTTTGTGCAATAATTGAGTCCACTGGGACCGCGGCGATCTATACTATTCTCTACCTTGTCGGCCATTTGGCCTGTTGACCGGTCAAATTTATCGACAATTTACCAATAAATACAATATCAAACAAACAAACAATTGTCAATCAGCCAATCTGAATAACCCGTGATGTGCGTCTTCAGGAAAAAAAGTTCACGTGTTCACACCTATCAGATAGCTTGGTCGATCGATAAGCACTATCATTTTCCAAATTTCTAATATTATTTTTTGTTGACCCTGCCCTAAAAAGGTTATACACCTCTGTCCGCCAGTATAAGAATAGATGAACAAGGAGACTGAATAGCGAACGAACTACCTGAAAGTATCATACCAAATCTGCAGATAATACTCATTATTGATTGTTGAACTCCATCATCTAATGGCTTCTTCACTGAAACCCGAAAGGAAATACCATGTGTTTTTGAGTTTCAGAGGCAAGGACGTCCGGAATAACTTCCTCGGTCATCTCTACAAAGCTCTTGATCAGAAAGGAATCTACACTTATGTTGATAGCGAGGAGCTCAGAAAAGGAGAGCAAATAGAGCCGGTGCTTATGAAGGCGATAGAGGAATCACAGATCACAATAATCGTTTTCTCCAAGGATTATGCTTCCTCATGGTGGTGTTTGGAAGAGTTGGCGAAAACCATTGACCGTAAGAAAGAAAGCGATCTCATGGTCTTTCCCTTGTTTTACAAAGTGGAACCTAGAGAATTGAGAACACCAAGAGGGAGCTACAGAGATGCTATGATTAAGCATGAGTCCAAGTATGGGAAGGATTCAAAGGAAGTGAAGAGATGGGAGAAAGCTCTTTCTGATGCCAGTTACTTGTCCGGATGGCATTTGAAAGATGGGTAAGTAGAGTGGAGTCCATATTTTATTTAAGAAGCTATATTGCAAGAAAGTATAGAGATTGTAAAAAAAAAAATCTACTTACACATGAGTGAAAGTATATATATAGATGGTTCATCTTATCATTCTTGAAAATTCTTAAGTGGCTTAAATTAAAGTTAGGAATTTCATATAAGAGTTAATAAATCTAAGACTTAGTTAAGAAAGAGAAATAAAATTTGGCAAAAGATAAGAAAAGTTGATAATTAAAAGAAAAATAAACTTGGCAAGTAACTCAAATAATAATTGATAACCCTAAATTAATTGGTAACTTAATTGTAGAGATGTTGGCAAGTCACTTTAATTAAGATCGGCAATTTCTAAAATTAGTTAAGTAAATCAAATGAGAATTGATAACTGAATAAAGAAGATGGTAAATTAAAAGAACATACGGCGCACAAGTGAGAGTTGGTAACCCAAAACTAATAGGTAATTATTTAATATAACGAATATTGATGATTCACTCTAAATTTGTACTGGTAATTTCATATAAAAGTTAGTAAGTTTGAGGCCGTAAGTTATGCAAACGAATTTTGGTAAGTTAGTACAAAAAATTAGTTATTTACTAATTATAAAAAAGATTGGTGATTTCATAAAATCGTTGGTAGGTACTAACAAGTTATGGGAAAGGAAAAGTCACTCATCTTTTTTTCACCGACAGCTTGCGATACTTACAAACACTTGTTGAAATTCACCGTCACAAAAAAAAAACTATTTTTGTAACGAAACAATAAAATTCTGCCTTTGGCTTTTGCTAAGCCTTGTTTCATTCGGAGCTCTTTCTTTTGGATCCTTGTTGCCCTCCTCGAAGTATAATAAAAGTTCTAAACGTTTTGTTTGTGGGCTATTTGAGTTTTTCACATTTCATTTTGGTTAATTGAGCTCTACAAATTTTCAATTTTGGTCAACCGAGTCATAAACTCGTTACCGGTGGCATTTTGAGTTTGAAAAATCACATGTAGCAAACCAAAGAATAGACACGAGGCTTTTTCCCGTAAAAAAATTGACAATAGGACTTCATCGCCTGAAAGTTTTACTGACTTATTTGAACAATATAAAATGCTAAAACCTGATCGATCAATGGACAAGATGTTAAGTATGTGTTACTGCACTTGCCTCATTTCTTTGGAAGGAAAGAGAAAGTTTGCAACGCTTTATACAGGATAATTAGTGTGTACAGGCCATGTAAGGCAATGACATCGTGCTTCGGGGTATTTTTATAGTTTTCAAATCAAAATCTTAACCATTGTTCAAAGTCTTGAGTAGCTTTTTTTGATTAAGCGTATAAATAAATCACATATAACAGTTCAACAAGAAAAATAAGTAAATTGTTATGTATAAATCAAAAGAACATGAATCACTTGGATGACTAAAAGTTGAACCCTCAACTTGTTTTGATTGTTGTGGAGCTCTTTTGAGTTCTAATTCAACTTGGTGGGTATCCATTTTGTTTTGGCTGTGGTTATGTGAAAATATGATGCACTGCTTTTGTCATTGTTGGCTAGTAATTGCTTTTTATTTGCTTATTCAAATTGCTAAAACGATGCCACAACTTCTTTTTCCGTTTTTTTTTCAGAGATGAGTCAGAGCTTATACAAAGAATTGTGATGGAAATCTCCATTCACCTAGACCGAACACCTTTGCATGTTGCTAAGCATCCAGTTGGGATAGATTCCCAAGTGGTTAAGTTGAAATCGATGTTAAAGCTTGAGTCCGATGATGATGTTCTCATGGTGGGATTGTGGGGACAAGGAGGCATAGGAAAGACGGCTTTAGCCAAAGCAGTTTATAATGATATTTTCAGACAATTCGAGAATTCATGTTTTTTGGCGAATGTTCGAGAAGTTTCAAAAGATTGCAAGGATTTAGTTACTTTGCAAGAAAAATTACTATTTGAGACATTAGCACTGAAAGAAAGATTAGTAGTGTCCAATGCTGACAGAGGTATTAATCTAATACAAGAAAGACTTTGTCACAAAAAAGTTCTCCTCATCCTTGATGATGTGGATGACTTGTGCCAATTACATGCTTTAATAGGAGAAGGTAATTGGCTTCGTAATCAAAGTAGGATCATGGTTACTACAAGAGACAGCCATTTGCTAACTTATCTCGGGATAGATCAAGATCACGTGTATGAAGTTAGAGAACTGAATGATAGTAATGCTCGTGAGCTGTTTTGTAAGCATGCTTTTCCGATACACCAAAAATTTAAAATCAAGACAGATCTAGTGGATAGTGTTCTAGATCATGCTAAAGGCCTTCCTTTAGCACTTGAGGTGCTAGGTTCCTTTTTACGAGGTAGAAGAGAATATGAATGGGAAAGTGCACTAGATGAGATTTCTACGGCTCCTAAAAAAGGCATCAATGATGTGCTCAAAATAAGTTATGATGGACTAGAGCCAAAAGTGAAAGAGATCTTTCTCCACATTGCTTGCTTCTTTAAGGGGCGGGATAGTGAGTATGTAAAGAAAATTCTCGAAAGTTGTGATTTTAAGGCAGTAATAGGATTACAAATTCTCATTGAGAGGTCCTTGATAAGAATTGAGACCAAAGACATACAAATGCATGACTTGATTCAATTGATGGGTATGGATATTGTGAACCAAGAAAGCAATGATCCCACAAGACGCACTAGACTATGGCTATATGATGACGTTGTCGATGTTCTCTCAAGTGACATGGTAAGGCTTGCAAATACCATCAAAATTCTCTTCCTTATCTTTTTGCCTCTAATTGTTGAACATGCATAACGTAAATAGTCTTGTATATATAGGAAAATTGTGCTGTAAAAGCCATAGTGTTGGAGCCACCTGAGCCGACAGAGATATGTATCGGTCCTGATACTTTTACAAAAATGAGAAGTTTGAGATTGCTCATTTTGCGCAATGTGCATAATTCTTTCCAAGGTTCTGTATGTCTTCCTAATGAGCTAAGATGGTTTCAATGGGCTGGATGTGCTCCTCGGATTCCAGAATTTTCCTCTGGTCGAAAGAAATTAGTGGGACTTGATCTGAGCAATTGCAGTATCACAAAAGTGCCAAATCAATTTAAGGTGAGTATTTACCTACATTAGCCCTTTTGAATTCAATATATGAAATTTGTATTTTCTTCCCAATGTTTTTCCAAGTTGGTTTCGTTGTCTTTGAAAAACTTCAACAAATTTTAAATTTTATTGATTTTCGGAAAATTTCATTGTGATAGAACATATATTCTTGACCTTCATCTATTATATATAGTTAGAGCTAGAATCCGACAATGTGCTCATTCTTATGCACACCACGTGATGCTTTGTTTTGCTTCTATGATTGTCACATGGCCTGACACGTGGTATTGTTTTGTTACGTGGCCCACATTTGCACTAGCCACGTGACACTTTACTATGCTTCTATGATTGTCACATGATATGACACGTGGCATAGTTTTTTACATGGCCACATTTGCATACTCGCTGCATGACCCTTCACTTAGAATATGGGATTGCCACATGCATGACACACGGCTCTATTCTATCCAAAACTAATTTTCATCTGCTAATAGAGAGTAGATTTGGGTGAGGAATACCGGTTTGGGATATTTTATTGGACGAAAATTAGTTTAGGGTAAATGTGTCACAATTGTACCAGTTTAGGATTTTTGTAAGATGAAAATTAATAAGGGGTAAATCTGCATGTCGATTGTGGATTTTTAATGATATTCATTCTAATCTTTTTTAATAATTGTTAACCCAATTTTATTTGTGAACTTTTTTATATTATGCGTCTATATATTATCCAATTATTTCAAATAATATCTAAAATGTCAAATGATAAGAGTTAACTCTGAGTTACTAAAATGTACATATATATATGTGTGTGTACGTATGTATAATTACTGGTAAAGTTTCTAAGTGTTTAGTAATTTCTCAGCGCGATATTTTATTCTCACAAAATCAGTTTATAGTAACTTTGAATGAAAAGTTAATTAATAAGTTAAGAAATTCACTCAGAAACCTGAATAGTGGGTTCCGAGTGTGCCTGATCTACCGAAGCTCCTTGCTTCCTTCCCCATGAAGAGTGTTGTGGCCTAAAGATGTGTAATTAGGACATATTCAGTGTTCACCCGGTCAATATAGATTATATAACAGTGGAGGATATGTAATTGTGACATATCCTTTCCCTTGAGAAACCCAATCTCCCCCATGTCTTGTGTAGGCAATATTATAAAACCATGGACAACATAAATGACATCCGATATTAGATTACCATCATTTCACGAGTTTGACTCCCCTGTCTATGTACAACAGCTTACATAAGCATATTTGTGGACTCCGTAGCAGATCACCTCTACATTAAATAAACAAGTTGCTCAATATTTACGATTGACGACCTAAAATATAGTAATTTCTTGAAAGATAAATAATGGATATGCTTCGGTATCAACCAATTCTCAAACGGGAATCCCCCGATTTTAATGTAAGGAAGCAACATCATCATACAAACACCCCTTTTTGTCCCTTTCAGAATGTTTATCAAACCTGATTTCGCTGTTTTTGCAGGGCTTCCAAACTTTGAAGTACCTTAATGTCAGTGAGTGCGAGTCGTTGGTTCGCATGCCGGACCTCTCGTGTACTCCAAATCTCGAGGAATTGGATCTCCGTAATTGTAAAAACTTGGTCGAAGCCCACAAGTCCATCGCATATCATTGCAAGCTACAGGAGTTAAATTTCCAGGGATGCTCTGAACTTAGTGTTTTTCCAAATGAGCTCAAGTCAAAAAATCTTCGAACTCTCAATCTTAAAGAATGCACAAAGTTTGAAAGGTTCCCTGATATTCCACATAAACTCGAAGCCCTAAAAGAGCTTTATTTGGAAAGAACCGCTATCAAAGGACTTCCTGCATCAATAGAAAATCTTGTCTCTTTGAAGACAATGGATGTAGGTTATTGCAAGAAACTGATGAGTCTTCCATATAGCATTTACAAGTTACAAAACCTTGAAGTCTTGGCTCTTGATTTTTGCACAAATTTAATGGGGTTTCCAAGGTACGAGGATTCAACTGATCCTTGTACGAAGACCAAACTTTCAAATTTACATCAATTAAACCTTTCAGGATGTAATTTGTCCGAAGTAGACTTTCTTGAGAATCTTTCATGTTCTCCATTCTTGACAACATTACAATTGTCGGGGAACAATATTACTAGCCTTCCTACATCCATCAATAAACGTCATCATTTGTCCTATTTGCTAGTTGATAATTGCCATCAATTACAGGAGATTCCCAAGCTTCCACCTTTTATGAAAACTCTTCGGACGGATAATTGCGAATCTCTGCAAAATTGTGGAGATTTAACTTCAATTCATGATTTTGTTCGTAGAGGGTTAACCATGGCTGAAATTTGCTCGCCTTACCAGGTTAGATTCTCTCTCTCACGCACACACATGTACACACACGCACGCATATCGATATGGACTATATGCTGGATCTCGTGCATGGTTGGATATTACAATAGCAGAAAATGCAAGATTTGAGGCTTAAGAAAATCAAACAAATATAAAGTGATTCTGCACGTGTATGCATGTAATGGAGTTGGCTACCGTACTTTTATGGAAATGATTTCTATCACATGAGACTTGTATGTTAATGCAAGCAAGGATCAAGGGATCTCTGCTCTCTAATTCCATGTGGAATTCTTTAGGATTACTTACTAAATTCAAATTGAATTGTTCTATTTGGGTACTAATAACAAAACTTGGGTACTTTCTAATGATCTATCTTTATTTCAGCCTTTTAATTACTCTGCTGTTCTCCCTCGAGGAGAGATGCCGGAGTGGGTTCTCCCTGTTGAAAAGGATTCCATATCTTTCATGGCTTCAAAAGACTTATATGACAAGTTTGTTGGATTTGCTGTATGTGTTTCTCTCGATAAGGATAATTATGAGGAGGAAAGTGAAAACTCATATCGTTTGGTTATCGAGGTTAATGGCCAAATAAGGGAAAGACATGGGTTCCATCTCGAACCGTTGGAGTTGGATCATATACAGCTTCGTTATCTCAGACCACCAAAATTGTGGGGAGTAGCCGATTTTGGTCGAATTGACGGGAGTCATGTACAATTTAGTCTCACAGTTTCTAGTAAACACATGAAAAAGTGGGGATTGCGAATATTTTGCAAACAACTGGAGGACAATTTGAAAGCTGTGCTTCAAGATAATCGATTAATCGATCCAGCTTTACTCTACGAGATTGGTCATGAATCAACATATTCAGGAGTCGAGAGTTTACTTATACACGAAAATGGTTCAATTGAAACAGATGCACAAAAATGCTTGCAAGATTATCAAACGAGAATTGAGAAATATAGTATAATGGTACTAGAGAGAAAGAGAGAGCGTGTCTTTTTTATCGTTTGAAGCAAGTGAATCAAGACTATGTCGACTTCCAATTTGATCAATGGGAGAAGGGAACGGTCGAGAAACTTGCTAAGGAAGCAATTCGTTGGCAAGTGAGCTCGCTGATTTTTTTTCTTCTTCTTCTCGTGTTCTTCTCTCTTTTATCTCTTTTCTTTGTATTTAGATTTTCTCTCTCCCCCGACGCCACTTTCAGCATCACGACTGATCGTCTTCCATCCGACACCACCAGTGAGCTCTAACGAATGGAAGATTGCCACCTGCCGACGTAGGTGACGAGCAAAGGGAGTTGGTCTTCCTGAAACAGAGTCCCGAGCGAATCGACAGCGATGGAGACCGACGAGCGGAGGCGACGGAGAACGGCGAGCGGAGGCGACGGACTACCACCCGACCGAAGCCATGGAAACTGATAAAGCAGCTTGGGGTGAGAGATCCTCTCTTGAGGTTCTGGGCTTCATGTAGATTGCTGTAGATCATATCGATTTTGAATTTGATTCGTACGGTTCTACAATTGCGCGGGAGCTTGAAGAATGTGTCCGTGAATTTGTTAGAGAGACGTTGGATAAGGTGCTTCTTCGTAAGTTTAGTCTGGGGATGCTTGGTGGTGAATTCACTGGCAATCGACATTACGCGCTGCAAAATCAGCAACGATCCCTAGAAGGTATATCTTTTCTTCCTTTCTTTTGATATGTGGCAATTTTTTCAAAGAAGTAGGTGAAGTCTAGGTTCAATGGGAAAAACAAGCAGAGGGAGAGTGAAACAATGGGAAGTAGCTTGTGCATGGTTTGGTTTAGTTCGCTTTTCGGGTGAAAACTGAGCCACTCCGTGTGCTATAGGTTGGGTCTCCCTTACGCGAAACCACGCATTGCAGCGGACAACCAGCCACAGTGGTGTTAAGGGGGGGTTGCTTTTGAGGTGTATGGATATGTAGTATGTACAACTCATACAGATGTGCAGTGGTTGAAAGGTTTTCCAGGACTATTGACTTGCAAAAAACTTCCATTGCTGGGATAGGGCTCTGTCTCTATGTTTTATGCAGCGCTTGAAGAGGCAAAACCATTTAGGAATGAAGAAGATGCAGTGAGATGGCAAGCCACCAAGAAAGGTTGCTGGACAGTCGAGTCCTTTTACCACTTGTTGACTTTGGCATCTACGGAGAATTAAAAAGCAAGTTTACTTGGAGCATGAGTTGTGCGCATGAATAACTGGTTAGGTGGTTATTTTCTTTCTTCCTGTAGACGATGGGTATGAAAAAGAAAAAAATCATAAGAAACACGGAGTTTACATAAGTTATTCAGTAGAATAGAGACAAAAGCACAAATGGCTGATTGTCAATTCTGATTTTTGAGGCCTTCGCAACAGTTTAGTGTTCTCTTTTTATGCTTATGTGCCATAGCGTTTACGGAGGAAATTGACCTAGCAGCTAAAGCTCCTAGAAGCTTCTTGAATGTTTGACTATAACCTAATTAATGAAAGATAAGCTTCTGAGGTACCAATGATAAGACTCACTCGAGTCAGCAACATGTAGTTTCTCAAATTAGTAGCTGTTTGTGCTTTAGTGTTGTTAGAGCCATATAAGTTCGACAGTTAGGTGGGATTGGCATTTGAATTACAGGATGAGAATGTGGTAATAACCATTGCTTGGAATTTGTGACCAGTATATATACAGGACCTGCAAGATCTTGATCACATAACTATGAGACATGCGTTCATTAGATCTGTAGCTATGAGACACTCTGAATATTTCTACTGGTAGCAACTTGATGTTGATTTCCTCTTGAATTGTTTGAATGCATGCACGCATGCATGAAAGAATTTCTAACTCTTTTCCTCATGTTTTCTTCTCCTAACTAGTAACGAGACCTATTTGCTTTTCTTATATAAGGCAAAGCTTGCTTTGGAAAGCCTTGAAGTTGCAGTTGGGTTAGAAACTGATTTTCAGTAACTAGGTGCGTTTCAGATATGTTATCTTATTTTCTAATTAAGATGATTAGTATTTTAGACTAAATTAGTGAATGGTTTTCAATAATATATCTGAACAAATTTGTTAATAGTGGAATTTTGCATGCATAATTAGGCTGTAAAGGGTTTTGTTCACATTATTCTTTCATAAGACATGACTAAGGCCAACAATAGCAATATTCTTGCTCTATTATGCACAATGTGTTGCGTTTTTCATTTACCATTACGCTCTGTTTGGAGCCATATTATGGTCTTTATCTATTTTTTGTGAAGTTCCTAATATTATTTTCTTAGGCTGTATGTTAGCTTGACTTTGGTATTCTTACTTGGTATAAAAAAAGCATTGTGAGCATTGTATTGACTTTTGAGATTTTAAGAACCAACTCTTTGGGCACATTTCTTCGTACAATGGCCACATGTACACAAATAGTTTAAGCCTGATTTCTGGTAGAGATCATCTCCTATCTAATAGTCTATTGCTGCAATTATTTATAGTTTTATGGTGACAATACACTGCTATAAATGATTTTATGGACAGTAATGAATAGTCGATACAAAAAATATATGGCCCTTTTAGTATCTTGTGTAGCATACTGAAAGAATAAAGGCACCTTGCTACCAGGTATATATAAAAATACTGTTATAAAAGGTGGAGGTGGCTAATCCAGTAAGAAGCCTCTTTTTCCACGTGAGATTCTCAGCAACTTCAAGCGAGCAAAAATTGTTGAGTTCATGTAGTATATGCCTTAATCTATCTTATATATTCTCTCAATTAGTTAACTTGAAGGAGAAAACATTCCTCATGAAATGCGTTTCCTAAATTTATGCTAACCTACACTGTGAGAAACTATCTTTCTGACAAAGCTCCTAAATTTGATATGCTTGCTTTGTTTTTCTCCTTGCTCTTTCATAGGCAACAAGACATGCAAAGATGGAAGCTCTTGATGTCCTTCAGGAACAGTGGCAGATGACTGGATTTTCAGCTACAGAAGTTGCAGAGAAATTTTCAGCATACTCCCTTTATGTGACATGTGAACCATGCATATATGTGCAGTAGCATTATCGATCATTGGTACATCTATTGGTCATACTGAAATAAAACTAAACTTTCCTGAATTGGTTTATTCATAAATAATAAGATTTCTCTTACCCCTTTTTAGGTATAAAGGAAGTATATTATGGCTGTACAAATGATAAATTTGGAGGCTGTGGCTCAATACTGGTGTTGCATTCAGTAGCTCCAAGGCATGCATTTCTGAACTTGCTTTTGTTGCTAATTTCGTAGCTACTTAGCTCCACTTTGTTATTGTGACATATGATGATTGACAACTAAAGCTGACTGGAGGTCTTCCTTATGTTGATTACTGATGGATGTGATTTCGTAGTGGTTCTGTTTGTTGTCATTATTTAAATATTGCAACACATAACCATGAAAATAAATGGAGGTTTATGGAGCTAATTTTCCATCTTTTCTGTCCTTAAGTGGAGTTTCTGGAAGCGTCCAGAATTCAAGTATATATTAATTCTAAATTTCTCCGCTTTGTTTCCTTTTCCTTGAATTCTTTGTGATTTGTTAGACATTTCTGTATTCTTTTCATATGCCCAAGAAGATGTACAGTTCTGGGAAGTGCTACAAGTTAAGCTAACATTAGTTTCTTCTTTCCTGTTCCCTTTCCCCTTTGTTTCTCACGTTTTCTCACTGCAGTCAGATTTTTGATGTCTTTAGTGTTGTCATGGTTAAATCTGGAAATCTGCAAAGAAATGTGATAATTTAATCATGAGTAAATTATGCTTTCTGATATGCCATGGGCAATGTACTTGACAAAGAAACCTCTTTTTGTGTTTATTAGTTGTAATTATCTCTTCTTGCATACGTGAGAGCAGGTGCCTACTAAGTTGCGGTGTATGACTTGTGTTTCCAGAATGATATTTCATCTGTCTGACGCTACTATGATCTAACTTTTGATGTTTTCTAAGCTTGTTTAAAACTCATCAAGGTTTTACTCAAACTTTGTTGACACAAAAGTTAAAACGTTGAAACGGGATTTGTTTCGTTGTGATTTTCGCAGTTCATGAAGTAGCTAATCTAGATTACGGACATTGTTTTTCTATTCAAGTATTTTTTAAAGAACAACAGCTCAAGTACAGGGAGAAGAAGCAAGAGATGTACTAAGGATGCATCTTAACAAAAAATTTAGAGAAAAGGAAATAAACCATGAAAACTCTAGACTTCTAGAGATTGAAGTTTATAGTTATGCTGCTCTTAATAATCTGACTACGAGTCAAAAGTAGTGTGGGAAACATGAACTAGCTCATTGCCTCTCTAAATACGACATCAAGCAAGAGGACTCATCTTGCGGATAAAGGACTGCCTTGCTCAATTTCCTCCTTCTGGAGCTCAAAAACTAGTCCCAATTATTGCATAGTTTCATGATAGAATATGAGACTGTTGTCATAATGGTGAGCATGGTTCCTATCCAACGTTCGGAAGACATAGCTGATTGAAACCCATCCTGGCCAGTACTAGTATACAAATCATCCACAAATCTTCTCTCAATGAGATCCTGGTACCAAAATTTCTCTGAAGAGAAGTTGCCCATCTGAATTAAAAGCTTCTAAGTATCACCCTGTTTACAGCATGTTAGTTGTTCTCCATGGACATTGGGTTTTACGTAGAAGAGAAAATATAGAATGGCCCAAAGGCATTGTTAAAGTAAAAAATTTTAAGCCATCCATGGACATTGGGTTTTACGTAGAAGAGAAAATATAGAATGGCCCAAAGGCATTGTTAAAGTAAAAAATTTTAAGCCATAGTTACCCAAAACACAAAACACACATCTTTTTTAGATTTGATCCAAGAATTTGCCAAGGTCAATGCCGCTAATAGAGCTTAGGTACTGTCAATTGAATCAAATGGTACACTTTAGAGATAATTTGCTTGCATGAAAACCTATTTCCTAGAGTACAGACATTTCTTAAAATTGATAATCTGAGGACCGAAATGTAAACTTTTTAAACAAAACATATTCTCCTATCGGAAAACTTGTTTTTGCTTAGATAGTACCTTCTTTTGCAAAGTGCTTTGTCAATTAGTCTGCTAAATTATGTCTGCCGTGATATTTGGACACGTTTTGCAATTGGAATCTATTCTGGGTTTCGAGCAGATGAACTAGGTAAAAATGCAGATTCATCGGGACCATTTGTTGGTTTCCACAGAAATTTCATCTGTGTTCCCCTTTCAAGTGTCTGCCTGATTGATGAATGTTTCCAACTTTTTTCTTGTTTCTCTTGCAGTAATGGAAATTCTAGATCAAAGGATTTCAAATGTTGTGGATGGATAATGGCATCAGAAGCGGTTTCTCATCTGTGAGAATTTTAAGAACAAGGAAACTATAATGGTGGCTACACTTTACCAGACAGACACTCTTGAGTGGAGCGGTTGTCAACCATGTAATGGTTGCTATGAATAGGTGTAGAATATGCCCAGTAAAGAAAAGTTAAAGAGTTTTAGATGGCCAGTCATTTTTTTGTTTTGGCCAATTTTCAGATGCCCTGTTTATCAAATATAGCTTTCCTCTAGACTGGGTATTCTTAGCCAGATTGCCATTTGAGAAATGGGACGGAAGGAAAAAAGAGGAAGTGCAGTATCTTAATAATTGATAATCCGTTGGTTAGACTCGTTGAGAGAAATATCTTCTTCCTTGATCCCTATCGTGAATTACTGAACATATATGGTTCTTGGTCGAGCAATTCTCCAATTTGAGCTCTTTAGTTGCAAATATTTGAAGAGACTGATTAGACCAGAACCTTTTCGTGCTTCTGAGATCATTATAAAACTTTGGAAACTCATTACATACAGAAAAGATGGCGTTGATTAATTTGTCTACGCAATGATAAAATGAATTTGGTTTTCTTCTCTGTTCTATAGAACCCTGTAACAAGAATATCATTCTTGTTGGCCATTTTTTCCCTCCTTTTCCATTCTTTTGCTGTTTACGATAGTGTGGAATCTATTTTTTGTTTTGAGTATTATAGATATATGCTGAATGCTAATATTTTGATTTCAGCTCCAAAGCCTCCCAGGCCACGGGTTACTGAGGCTTCTCATTTGATCTATGTGCATTGATTCCTCCCGTTGAATCTTCTCGTTCCTCTGCACAACTAGGTAAGACCTTTGAACGTATGATTCCTTGCTTTTATGAACGTCATGTACATCATGTGTAGTTTTATGATGGACCTTTGCTGTGTAATGAATGATTATCAGTTACTTGTGCATATAAAAAGCTGGCGGCATTGTGTGACCTTTCTAAATTATAGCCTGTTAACCATGATTATCATGTGTGATCCCTAATTATGATAAAAAGTGGTAAATAATTTGCATGTGATTCACATGGGTTTCCTAGCAAAGAATGCATTGACTGGATTTAAACTTCCAGATTGCACCAATTATGTCCTAGATACTTAAATTTATAATATTTGTAGAGCTAGTTAACGTCGTGATCATCGTTGACTTTTCCTAGCATATAATTGTGGAAAAATCTCAATGATTTGATTGGTCGCGTGGTGGCGCCAAAAGTACATAAAAATCTCAATGTTTTGCTCCGTGAAGAGGGATTTGGCGGCCAGAGGACTCCTCAAGCTCAATCGTCGACGCCGCCCTCTCTTTAAACAAGAGCTTACCTGAACAGTGGGTACCGCCGGCCAGAGGACTCCTCAAGCTCAATACCGACTGCTGGTGGACGGAGGGAGCAACGGAAGTTTTGATAGCTGGAATTGTTCGGGATTCATGCGGTATGTTGGTGGCTGGCTTTGCGAAAGGCGTGCAAGCTCCCTCGGTTCTGTTTGCAGAAGCCCTAGCAGTGAATGAGTCGATTCTCTACTTGTGCTCTGTAGTATCCACCGACTGCTTGTCACTAGTGGAGCTTACCACGGGTAATGTTGAAAGCCCTTGAGCCATGCAAGAAATCATTGAGGAATGCCGGTTTCTGCTGGCCCACTTGGTTATGGTGAAGGTTGCTCATTGTCCCTACGAGGTTAATCAAGTTGCTGATTGGATTGTTAAGACCGCAGGAACAAGACTGTCCCTTCGAATTGGTCTTCTTTACCCCAATAACCCCTTTGGAATATTTTGTGTTCAGAAACCAACTTGTCTAGCTCTGGTAGAGTTTGATTCATGAATGAATAAATGAATGAAAGTGCTTTTTCTGACCCAAAAAAAAAGAAAAAAAGAAGGCAATTGGCAACTGTTTCTTCCCTAAGTGTGCTTTCAGTATTGTTCAATCCTACACGTGAGACCTTTTTTCGTTCGATTATGAAATGTCGAAATTTTAGTGCTTTCTAGCTAGTACTGATCATAACCCAATCTATTAAAAAACATTTGAAAATACCAAAGCATTTGACTGAAAGATCTATAGTCTAACACGAGCAGGAAGATGGTAATTTTGGACCTCAATGTGTTCGAATTTTGTATAAATGCGGGCTAATATTAATTGTATAATTTTTTGGTCCGTGAAAAATACTCTGTTATAGTACTTATAAAATATATAAGAATGTTATATTGCCCAATTATGGTAATGTGAACATATTATATAGGGCTTAGCATATTTTGGTTACAGAAATAATGTGGTTGGCCGATTAGTGAAGATTAGTATTTTAACAGTGACCTGTAATGGAGGAGTCTATTAAAATATGCTACATAAATAGGTTATGGTCTCCATTCCCCTAATAATTTCGTACACCTGCATTTTATCCATCAAGACCATCTAAGGTAGGAGAAAGAGACGAAAGCCTAGTCCTGATTTGTCTGGATTTATCCATAGTGCTCGATTCAAAGACGATAATTAGCTAACCAGGTACCTGTTTTTTATTCAAGGCCAGGTATTGTAAATTCTATAAGTGAGTTTTTGATCATTGCATTTCTTACATGTGGTATAAGAGCTGCTATATATGGGTTCAGAATTCATTTAATGCGTAATCTCTATGTAATTACATGTATAGTCATATTTCAGGGGTTTTTATGGGTGAGTTCGGGAATTCAATTCTTTTGGTATCAATATGGGATTTTAAATACCGGTTCTATGGTAAATCTTCTTGGAAAATTTCGTGTTATAACTCGGCCTATGCCGTGTGAATTTCAAATATTGAAGGGCATGTGAACCGAAAATGACATTTTGCAATTTGACCTTTTTGGTTGTTAGTTTGGACGATTAATTTGTGGCTTTTGTTACTCATGCAACAATTCTCATACTCCATAAATTTCGTGCCCTAATATCATCTGCGCATCAAGAATTTCCAACTTAGAAGATTTCAGCATGAATAAGAGAACCGAAAATCATGTGGTGCAATTTCGACAATTTTACTTGTTGATGCTCAAAAACTGTTAGAGAGTTCTCTTCTACGTTGAATATCATATTCTGTGAATTTCTTATGACCGGAGTAAACAAGCTTCAAATTGGATGTCGATTTCTTATTACATGTCCAAACCGGCTTCATTATTGTGCTACCCACAAACAGTTTTGGTCATTTTGCAGCTTTAATTTCGAATGAAATCAATTCAGGGCACCTGAATCGAGTTTTGGGTGTTTCGGATTTCTAGGGTTAGATGACACCGAGTGTCAATGGTACAAATTACTTATAATTGGACCATCATTAGGCTATTAGATGCATGAGTAAGCTTCGTTTATTCGTCTATCTCTCGGTAAATCCTAGACTTTATTTCGAATTGAAGCATTCAATCAGGATTTTAGGTTTTTAACGTATAATAAAATCGAGATAGAGCTTCAGTTATGCTAAAAGGGTCGAATTTGCTACGTTCTAACGCCGGATCTAGAACGAATCAAGACCGGGTCGCGACCCGGTCAAGCTACCTTGCCAGAGGTTGAAGATGACTAATTGTACGCGTATGCAAGGCAAACCCCATGCGCAGAAGACGCACGTCTAGGCACGTGACAAGTCTTTTGGGCTCCATTTTTAGTGCGGTCTTTTGCGTTGTGCTCCATGTGCCAATGTCCTTTTTTTTAATTGGCATATTTATGGTAGATTTTATCTTAGAAAAATTGAGATAAATTGAATACTCATAATTTTTTATAAGTTAGGTGCTGCAAAATTACTTTGATATGAGAAATTACATACATATTCTCTTTGAAATATTGTGTTTTTTGAATGTACAAGTTTGAAACAAAGTCTCTAAACAAATATGTGGGGATAAGAAGTTATATAATGCACCATTAGTGATTGGTTACCAAAGTCACTTACTCGTGGGGACACACGAAAAATTTTCTCATGTTATTTGAGCATTCGTGTTTGGAGATGTCACGTGATTCAATATGTGATTGAGCACCAGAGTGCTTCACATATTGAGAACGGTGGAATTACTCATGTAACTATTGATTATTTTTAACATCCCGACTTCAAGAATACTTGCACATTTTGATATGGGTGTTTGACCATCAAAGTGGTTCACTCATTGTGACTTGTGGAGCACTCACAGGTCGTAATCTTCATGTGATGTTTATTATCTTATGATATACGATCACATCCTAGAGACCATTATTGTATTCTATACATCAAGGATTTGAGGCAGTGTAGTAAGACACACCAGTCTAGGAGGCTTGTTTGCCCATAGGAGATAAGCTTTCTTAGATTGATATTGTCTCATAATTAGCTTCACTGAGAGGCTCTAATTGACGAGTTATTTACTTTGTCGTAATGGGGAGTCTATTATGATCACAAGGATAGTCACTCGGATGAAATATCGATTCTTATCAATCACGCACACTTGGATTGTTGGATTTCTTTGTGGGATAAGATGTGCCATTTTGATTGGCAATAGAGAGAATTTCTAGTTGTATATTGCATTCTCCACCTATAGGCGAGTTTGTTAAAAAAAAAAAGCATCAAAACTCTCAAAGTTTTGTTCGATTGTCTCCTTTGAAATGCTAGATTGAAATACGAAGGTCTTGGCTAGTTTTGATTATATGAGATGGAAGCTTATAAAAGAAATTCCTTGTTAAACTTGCGGCATCTGTATGGCCTTACATATATGGGAGCTCGTAATATGGAGTATTTTACGACATCTTGTTACTAAGGGAATCAACTTAGTGATACATATATAATATCTCCTTTGGGAGATGCTTAGTTCTTGTAAGGCATGAATTCATTTTATGATATGTGCATGTACTTGAGGCACATATTAAGGTTGATTGACATTTGATCAAACTCAACATTATTGCAATTTTACAAGAGTTATACTCTTATATCCAAAGTTTATACGATATTCTTTTATTATCAGATCGAAAGAAATTGAGTCCAATGCTACCGATCTTTGATGTCAAAATTTGATAATAATATTGTGATTTTTGTGTTCCATTCCAAAGCTGAATGCCTTTATGGATCTTTGGAACTTCCACCGTAATTGTGATTTCAGTTCGTTCCTGCTTTGCCCTCGCTTTTTTCCGAGTTGCATTGCCGTTGATTGTGCTGTGGAGGAGGAATCGAGTTTGCGAGGAAGGTGTTCGATGAAATGACGAAGCTCGACTCTGTTTCAAGGAGCACCTGTTCACAATAGAAATAATCCACGACTCGGCGGTGGCGACCTCAAGCTTTGGATTGGTGGTCAAGCGAAAGCAAGTCTCTCGAAGATTGAAGTCCAGAGAAGCTCGCTGAATGTGCTCGACAACGCCATGATCCTGTCCGTGGACTCTCTCTCCCTCTCTCTTTCTCTACATTCCTCGTCATCGTTACGAGCGCTTCTTTGCTTCCGCCTACCATTAACGTCTCCATTGTTGCTCTGTTTCAAAGGCCTGCGATGTCTTGCCCAGGGATATTCAGGCGCACTAGTTGTCGAGCATCACCGGTGCTGCTCGGTTCCCATGAATTCAAGCTCCAGCATGGTTCTCATTCTCGGTCATGATGACACATGCTTGAAGCCCATGGAGCAAGAAATCTTTGGTCAATTCATGAAGCTGAGTTGTCATGTCATTCGAACCCATTGAATCAGGAACTCTCTAGAGCGTCGAAGTCCACAAAAGCAGGTCCCAAAGCCGGCACTCTGGAATAGGCAGTTAAAGCGTTGAAAACGGAAACAAATTGATGAGAATGCCAAAAAAAATTTAGTTATAGGATGGAGAGTGATTTGGAGGAAAAAATCAGATCTTATTCAGCAAAGATTGTGATGTCAAGAAGTGCTGAGGGACAAAGTGGCCAAATTTGAAGCGGGTTTGTATTCCATGCTCTCTGACGCTCTTCCA